CCCCCCCCCCCCCCCGTTTACTAAATTTGAGTTCGAGAATTTTTTTTCATTATTTTACATTATAAGTACCCAAAGAAGCTATATATATAAAAAACAGATACAAAAAGGTGTTTTGCGAAATTGAGAGCAATTTCAAATCTGTTCAGTTTTTTTTTTATACACCCCGTATAATACTAACTTTCACGTATTTATCGATTACACAGCTGGAAAAAACTGCTTTTTGTCTCCATGTCCGGCCTAGTGATGCACGAATGAGGCATCGACAGAAATCTTATGGATCGTAGATTTCAGAAATACAATTTTCAGGCTGGCTCAAATTCAAGTCTCTGCTAGAAGGGCCTTGCAAGTCGGTGGAACATCAGGTACGAAACCGCACAATATTAACATGGTAAATATCTCCTTATACGAGAACAATTCATTTACACAAACATGGCTGCAATGTTTAACTACTATATAGGCTTGAAACTTGTTCTCCTTTTAAGCTTTTCGCGCTTAGAGTTTAGAGTACGTTAAAGGACAACCTGTTTTGAATTGGATGTATATCACTTGCTTTTAACGTACCCATGATCATTAAGTAAAGTACTTAGTGCCTGGGAGGCAAATCCGACTTCTGGGTGGGCAATTGGCCATGCACCCAGTTATATAGCTAAAAAAGGAATTGAAATAACCTCCATTTACTGTATATAACGTAAAAATTTCACCATTGGATGGTTGTTGCCCAGCTCCTGACCTTTGTGGTATGTCCTTTTCTTTCTTTTCTACTTCCATCACATCAACTGGATGTAACTATGTATGGTGTTCCTTTCCACAACCAGTGGATTGGCATCGAAAGTGTTTCTTTAGACACATCCGACCATAATGACCAACTGCAAGACACTTAAAACAGAGTGACTTCTCTGTGACAACCTTCTTGCGCTCCGTCAATGAAAGTAATCGAAATTTTTCACATTGCCATATTCCATGCGGGCCAGAACACATGGAGCAATTTCTTCGTGAAACACTCGAATTCAACTTCCCATTCTCATCCCTTTTCATTCCTACCATTAACGCAATGTTCCCTTTGCTAAAGCGCCCACCTTTCTCTCATTATTTCTCCATTTCTCCTTAGCCCTGTCCTTACTATCACTAGAGGTGAGGTCATCCCCAAATTCATTGTTCACCAAAGTAGCTTTCTTCTTGATAAAATTAAGAAAATCTTCAAATCGTGATGTGGAATTACGCTCATATATCTTTCCAGCTTCCTCAGTCCATCTTGCTTTCATGAACATTGGAAGTTTTCTATTTAACTCCTTCAAGGTGTTCAGATGATCCAAGTCACTAACATGTTCTGGACCCATTCCCTTCAGTGTCCGATTAGTGGACTCAAGATGCCGTGTAAACTCAAGCAATGAAGGGCCACCAGCTTTCTTTATACTGGGTAGATTGACTAACTTCTTAATGTGGGCCCTAGCAATTATATGTGGCTTACCAAAGTTCTCAGTCAGGGTCTTCTTAGCAACACAATATCCTTCATCTGCAGGCAAATTGACACAGGTTTCAATGGCTTCCTTTGCCTTACAATGGCAATGCTGAATCTTTCAAGACATGTTTCAAAATTTTGCATAAATGAGGGGAACTTGATAGGATTCCCATCAAAGTGTATATATTCTTGCTTTGGTGTGGCAACCACTTGCTTCAGAGCCTTAACAATCTTAATGTTAGTGTCTATTTTCCCCAAAACTTGTGCTCCATGGTCTGAATTTAGAAGGGGGAAGGGGTAAACCTACATTGCACATGTAAGGATTCCACGTAGTATCCCATATCTGAGGGTTGTATGATGGTTGTTGATAGGACAATACCGGATGGGTTAAAGTCCAGGGCAATGAATATGTATTCGCTGGGAGAACTGTTGGTTCCGGTCTGGGTGGGACTACAGATGTACTAGGTCTCAGAGGAAACACAGAGCTTGGCACAGCAGTTGTCTACCCCGCATACCCAGAATTTATTCCCTGAATCTCTGGCATAGGATTACTAGAATTGACATGGGTTATTAATTTGGGCACTGAGGTATTTGAAAGTTCAACTGGTTGGTCTGAACTTAGAAATTTTGTGCCTCTCTCTGCATGTTCACTTTAGTTTATCAAAGAATGTTTATCATTAATATCCACTTTGAGCAAACTCGCCCCTTCTTCCCCTTGGACACTTCTAGTGGGTGCATTGTCGAGACGTCCCTGCCCGTTATTCTCATTCAGTTCTTCAATGTCACCTAACTTATGCTCTCTTTCCTCCCGAATAGCCTGTTCGCAAATACTAACACTCATCATAGCTTCTTCTCTCTGTATTTCTGCTTCCAACATCTCACTTTCATTCTGTAAGTCTAACATTTTCTTTGCTAGTTCATGCTTTCTTGCAATCTGATCGACTTTTAGTTGGGCAAGGGCTAATCTTTCCCTTCTTTTCGACAAGGAAGACAATCTAGAGCTTCAACTTGAAGCTCTACTTCTTGTTGAGGCTTTCGAACAAGAAACATGATCTATATTTTCCCTCTGACTTACTTCTCCTCTCCAAGACTTAATTATACAGCCAAATTCAAACCTTCGCTTTATTTGCTCTTCATACAAACTATAAACAGCTTCCTTTTCATTTTCACTGTCTATAACGTCTAAATATTTTTCATGGGTACTTACAAACTCACGCCAACCGTTGTCATACGATTCCAATTTCTTCTCTATATCATAAAGTTTCCCATTTGACATCCTATGAGCTTCAATCTCTCTTCGAATTCTCAAGAGTTAAACTATCAACATATCCTGCTCGAGAAGCATATAAAGCCTTTGCTCTTTCTGACTTTTCACCGTCCAAATAGTTTCCCTTATTCGGAACTCTTAATCAATATTTATTGGTGTCTCGGCTGTCGCCAATCTCAGATCTTGTAGCCGTCTTTTCGCCATGGATACACGTCAATTTATCCACACTTCCAGCTCCCTGAACTGGCCAGGAACGCACAGTCATAATTCTCCACAGTTTAACCCAGTAAGTCCACGAATGCAATACAAGAATAGTCCGAAAACGTCATATAGACTCCTATCTACATGTGATTGTCCAAAAACTATACGTGTCAGTGTGTGTGTGTGTGTGGTTTTCTATTAAAACAAATTACAATAATAAGTGGCGTAGCTACCGATATTTGACTAGTCCTGCTCTAAGACCCACACATTCTAGGGGGGTCCGGGGGCATGCTCCCCCAGAAAATTTTGAATTTTAGAAGTCTGGAATGGCCATTTCCTGCGATTTCACGGCAAAATACTCCAAAGGGAATATCAAAAAATTGCGTGATTAGCGGGAAATTTTTGATAATTTTTTTAGAAAAATAAATTTGTAACTTTTTGAAATCCATGGCATTTTTTTATCATATTTCACTATATATTTTTCAACTTAATTAACTGAAAATGTAGCTAAATATAGTCAAGTCACGAAAGAGGAACATATCATGTATACAATACGCGCTGTAATACGACCTTTCACTTGATCAACATATCATCCAACCTCACATAATCAACAATTGCGTAACTATTATACCGTGTTGAAAACGGCGTTTTATGCACTATAATGCTATGGCTAGCATTCGTTAAAAATTCACTACGTTTGTTAGTAATGTGTTAAACTTTATATAATGGAGTGCTATCAACTATAGATCACTACGCCTGGCAATCTTGAATGTAATTCAGTACGTACGCTATGCCTATGGTATCAATATAGCGTTTAATATAGTCTATGCGGCCAAATATCTACATAAACAGTGTGAATTGGTACAGTATATCATTTTTAAAATTAAACTCCATATAAGTGCTCGTTTCAAATGCACAAAGCAGATGAACTGGCAGTAAATAATACGTTCTTACTTTATATCAATACGACAGGCTTCACCGAAATGAAGTTTGTATTCCCCCATTATATTGTATTATAAAAATATGCAATCATCAGTCGAGTCTGTTCACATCAGGGCGCTTATATAGAGAGCGGTGAAACGCGCTGATGTCGCGCTGATCGATGTGTGACTGCCTCCTCCGCAGGCCCTCGTTGTGTCATGGGAAGGTCACGATTTCGAGAGGGCCTGCGGAATCTTGTAAAATGAATAAATGTTGTTTTGAACCTGCTTCGTTAAAGAAGGCAGTTTTATTTGTGCAACGTTGGTGTGGACAACAAACCTTATCGTTAAAAAATGCTTCCTTCCACGTCCTAAGAGTCGCCAGTTTAATTTACAAGTTTCACGCCGCTTTTTTATATCTGTTTATATTCAAGATTATGTAGAAATTTACTTGCTGACGTGCCGCCGGCGCCATTTTATTTACAAGATTCCGCAGGCCCTCGCCAGATCGTGACCTTCCCATGACGCAACGAGGGCCTGCGGAGGAGGCAGGATGTGTGATGCGGAAAAGGACTGGCACGAGCGTGCTTTTCGGCAAAAGTTGACAAGGAGCGTGATTTTTCCTGCTGTTGTATTTTTGCTGTTTTTTTCATTAACTACGAAATTCTTGAGGATGTTTTTGCACTGTAACGACGAAGTAGTAACTAGTGTATCGTACGAATGCTTGTTTGGCCTGTATAGTTGAATTTTGAAAGAAATATTGAGGATAATGAGTCGGGCTTTTGATGACTTCAATGAAGGGAAATTTTCAAAACAGCATTTGGGCATGTTATCAAGTCGTCCAAACTTCGAAATTCAGTTGATGGTAAAGATTATAATTATGTGCTTATCTCCAAAAGTTTTCATAAGACTCGGAGTTGAGCAATTGAATATACAGCGTTGGAAAGTGAGGTATTTTTGTGTGTTAAATTTTGCCTCGTTAGACCATTATTTCGCTGCAAAAAAATAAACAACAATTGTATTTTGGCCATGTCATGATTTTTGGTTATTATGTTAATAATTTTGTACGACTTTTAAGGCATTCAATTGAAGTAATTCTGAGCCGTAAACATATTTTACTTCTTGGCCTTTGAATCAAAATACGACTCGTTCGGACGTTTGTTGAGCGCAATAGTCGAAAAAGTTTCGTCCCAACTTTGATTTTTTTTGACCGGCTGGCCAAGACAACTTCTCGTAAGGATTCGTTAAAAAAATACAAATTCAAGTTGAGTATTTCTTGATTTTCAACTGAAAAGATCAATTAGTGACTAAAATTAATTGTGAATTGTATTCTATCGAACGTGAACGATACGTGTACATCCGAAGAGTTTTACAAACCTTTCACGTCATGCTTCTTGCGAAAGCAACCGTTCGTAAGCTTTCGCAAGCGTTTTGAGCAAAAACTCTAAAATATTGGCAGTATTACCTGAAAATACAATAGCAGAATCTACTAAATTATCGTATAACATCGGAATTTTACCCCCAATATCTATTTTCTCATCAAAACTTGACTACAAAACAGTCAAAACTTCCAGCTCAGTTTTCCCGCCATATTTATCCTTGCCATATGAGACAACGTCGCCATAGTAACCACAACAAACTCGTTACCAGTTCATTGCATCACACATCGATCGGCACGCCTATAGCCGTTTCACCGCCCTATACTGTATATAAGCGCCCTGCACTGTAAATTAAAAAGGGCCAAATCGACCCCAAATTCCGTTTCAGCCCTTTTGGGGCCAAAGCTGTTTTGGCCCTATGTGAAAGCCATTTTGGCATTGGAGAGCTGGATCGGCACCGACGGAGCCATTTTAGGTATGGAGGAAAGTCAAATTGGCCCTACCCTTTGCCGTAACGGACCCATCATTTTCCAATTTAGCCCCATCAATTGCCAATATGGCCCCACAGACCAAAACGACTCTCACGTCCGGGTTTGTTTTGGCCCCACATAAAGGGGCCGCTTTTGATCAACACATTGGCCCCTATGAGCTTCGTTTCGGCTCTCCATGGCGGAACGACTCTCGCATAGGTCAAATCGACCCTGGAATGAAATCGACCCTTTTGTCGAAACGACCCTTCTGTCAAATCGACTCTTAATTGTGTCAAATCGACCCTTCTGTCAAATCGACTCTTAAATGTGTCAAATCGACCCTTGTGTCAAATCGACTCTTAATTGTGTCAAATTGACCCTTTTGTCAAATCGACTCTTAAATGTGTCAAATCAAGCCTTCTGTCAAATCGACTCGTAAATGTGTCAATTCGACTCTTCTGTCAAATCGACTCTTAATTGTGTCAAATCGACTATTAATATTGTGTCAAATCGACCCTTCCGTCAAATCGACTCTTAATTGTGTCGATCGTCCGTCGTATGATCGTATCAAATTAACTTCCGCATAAAACTTAAAGAATGCACATGCTCGCAAAGAAAAAGAAGAGGACGTTTTTTGGATTAATTTATACAAGGTGAGATTTGATGTTTCATTTTGTAGGGTATTGAAATTTGTTTTCCAGGGGCCGGTTGTATCAAGCCCGTTTAGCTTAAACAGTGGTTAAGCTCAAAATAGAAAGCAAGTCTATAGATTCATTCAACAACCAAACTAAACGTTTTGAACTTTAATAGAACGATAATGTTTGCAACTACATATTCAGTGCAGAATATTTAAGTTGACTGATTCACGAGAGAGAAAAGAGTGTTATTTTATTTTGACTTATCCACCGTTTAAGCTAAACGGGCTTGATACAACCGGCCCCTGATTTTTAGTAATATTATCGTAAATATAAATACGGTATTTGTAAAAATTAATCACGAGAATTGAACGTGTAATCATAGAATAAGGCCTAGGTGTAATATTAATATTAATGATCGCGGGAACTGGGAACGAGAATGCACGCGCCCGTAAGCAATCGGGTTTGCGATCATTCTCGAGCATGCGTACTAACTTTTGGCGCCATTATCGAACGTTGGCCGTTGGCACAGATTAAGAGGACCAGATGTCCGACTTCAGTCAAAAAAGCGTAAGGGCTTCGTCACTGCGCATGCCGTACTGCGCATAGCTTAGCAAGTGACTAGAGGCAGTCACCCCCCCCCCCGACATTAAATTTCAAAATGGCGGCAACAATTTTATTTTGAGACAACAAACATGAAAATAAACTCTTTTTATTTGCCCGAGAGAGGAATTGTGTGGTTAAATTTGTGTTTAAAACTTTCAACGTCAGTACGCGTATTGGAAAAGTGAGTTTATCACACTTAGTTTGCAATATTTTACGAATTTTTCTCTTTTTCGATCGTCGGAGGAGTGAAAAACTATAGGCGAAATGAAAATGCCACTTTGCTGAGGTATTTGAAGTCATTTTTTACAATGTACGATGTGTTTTCTTGCACTTTCTACGATGTCTGATATTCATCGACATATGTATGCATAATTTATAGTTTACTTTGCATAGATATTAACTAGAAGTTAGTTTTGTTTACAAATTTTACATTGTATGCATGAATGTATACATAGTATTTGTAAATATTGAGTTAATTCATCTATTTATACAAAGACTCTCTAATAAAAATCTTGTAACAGGAAATGTGAGTTTCAGAAACTGTGTGTCTCAGACAAAAATTATTCTAAAATTAAATACCTCACCTACCAACAACATATTACAAAAATATATAATTTGGGTATATTGGACAGGTTTCCTCTAATGTTAATAGTACAGACTACATGTGTAGGATATTAGGACACTGACTAAATGGGAATTCAATATTTAACATTCTGTAAAATCTGTTTTGTTTACACAAGTCTCACAATCTATAGTAATTATATTCCTGACTGGAAAGTTTGCAAAGGGTGCAGCTAA